GCCCTCCCTGTGTATTTAAACCCACTGGTTGTCTTTGTCTCTTGTTGGGTCCTTGTCTATGTTGTCTGTTAGTTCGTCTGCCGGCACAGTAGTACTGTGAAGTCCTGTGTCGGCATTTGCTCGTTTTTGTCAGTCTTGTTTATTCAGCGCTACCGGTAATTAGCTGCGTGCTATATTGTCTGCCGTGCCGCCTGTATTGGACTGTCGAGCTTTTTCATTGAATATCACCATTTTCATCATAACCTGGGTCTCAGCGTCTCTCCTCACCACCACCACCTCAACCCCATTTATGACAGCATGAAGTTTTCAGGCAGCAGTCTCATGGAAACATTCTAGGATTTTTATTTTGGATACAGAATTTTAAGACTTTCTAAAGTTGCATGATCACTCTGGAGAAGAACCAGAAATACTAATCCCACCTAGATGCAAAAAATAAAATAACTCTAGATCTAACAAGTCATCATAAATCAAAAGGCAAAAGTGATTTTTCTTTTTCATATCTAGACTAGACGAAGCTTTCAACAGGAGAGGCTATTAAAGCATTCAGAGGAAGATAAAGTTTGTACCACATCAAAGAGGAGCCCCGGCAAGCATAATGTAGCTGTGCAGTGAGATGGAAGCACAGCCCTGCTTTATATTCTGCAGCCCTGTGCAGCCAGTCAACAAGGAATAATAACCCAATGGCAGAGATGGATGACACAAGTGAACGCGTTTGGAAAAAAGGTTGCTTTTCTTACGCCAAAAATAAGTCTATTACACGTGGTTGGAAACAGATCCAATGAAGCAAAATTACTTTTCCTGTCTGGACAGATAAATCCACAGCTGAATTTCAGCACTGGTTTAAAAAACCAAAAATAAAACAAAAAACGGGACGGGATGCAAAGTTATCTCACTTAATTTGTGGATGTGTATGGGTTCACTGCCCACGCCTTCACCGCCTTCGCTCAGAACCTTGATCTGGATGAGATAGTTGTCGCCGGCCGAGAGGCTGAGCTCGGCCAAAGTTCTGTTGGTGAAGGTGGTGTGGATGTCGTTGTATCGGTGTCTCTTCAGTATCACCTGGACAACGAGGCGTTTACAAAATTAAACTGCTTATAAAAAAAATATGATCAGAGGATAAATCAGGGGGCGGTTTGGAACAAACCGGAACCTACCAGATATCCGGTCACCTTTGACTCGGTCTCCGTGGCAACTACGGGGTCCCAGCGCAGTGTTAGCGAGGAACCAATCATGCTCCATTGTATGTTAAGCGGAGCCCTGTCTGGTGCTAGAAAAGAGAATCAGATGTAAAGATGTGGGTGAATAATCAGCTGGTTGTAATTTAAACCAGAAGTTTACATACACTAATAAAAAGACAGATACCTTATTTTCAGACCGAACGACTCCAGTTTTACAGTCAGAATTACCAACATTTCTGTTTTGCAAGATGCCAAAATAATGAGAGTCTATCAGAGATTTATTTATTGATGTCTTCAAAATCAGAAGTGTACATTAATTTCCTGAGTATTTGGCAGAAACTTGGGTCAAAACTTTTTGGTTTCTTAAAAAGCTTCTCACAGTAGTTTGTTCACTTTCAGATGCTTTTTCAGATCTACCATGATTTCTCCATCAGAATGACAGCAAAATATGGAATTTGTTGTCCATAGGTCACTTTATAGCCACTTTGGCTGCATGCCTAGTTTAACTCTCCATCTGGAAGACCCATTTGTGCCTGAGCTTGAACTTTAGATGTTACTCAATATTTCCACATAATGTTCTTTATTCATGATGCCACTTATTTTATGAAGTGCAGCAAAACAGCCCCAAAGCATGATGCTGCCACCCTCGTACATCACAGTTGGGATGGGGCAAGCATCCATTTTGTTGGTCATTTTGACCAAACAGTTTTTATTTTTGTTAAAAGATAAAAATGAAGGTCTTTGTCCATGTGTGCATTTGCAAACTGCCATCTTGCTTTTTTTTTTAATGTTTCCTTTGGAGTAACGGCTTCTTCTCCGCTGAGCGGCCTTTCAGCCCAGGTCAGTAAAGGAAACGTTTCACTGTAGAGAAAATGCATATACCTGCATCTTGTGAAGTAACTTCACAAGATATTCAGATTTTGTCAGATTTTTATTAACTAACTAACAAAACAAAAAAAAAAGAACCAAATGGCTCATGGTGTTTTACCACAGGCAAAAAAGAAATCCCACAAACGCTAAAATCTGACGCCACTGCATTTTTTTTTTTTACATTATGTGGCGAAGGAAATTGTGCTCAGTTTCTTCTTCAGAGATTTTGTCTCTTTTCCTTCAGCGGTTCTTGGTGCAATGCTCCTACAAGCGTTTGGTGTGATCAGGTTTTTCAAATAGTTTGGTTCATTTGACACAGGGCAGTGTGAAAAAGAACCCAGCAGCTGAAAATGGAACAAATGTTGCAGTTTTGGTCCAAATTGAACCGAGTCTACCGGACTATCAGGTGTGAAAACACCTGAGAGCTTTCAGGAAGCTCTTCTATCAGATTTTCTTAAAGAAGTTGTAGACAACGCAGCAGCACCGCCCCTCCTGCATAACTCACGTGGTTTCCTGGTGGTGTTGTTGATGGGCGGTGACTGCGGCCCAGGCCCGGCCGTGTTGAAGGCAGCAACAGAGAGGTAGTACACCGTGTTGGCTTTCAGTCCCGTGATGTTAACCTGTGTGTAGTTCCCTGTTATCCGCACTTTGCCAACAGTGTCAGGCTTGGTGTCGTCTTCCCAGTACATCACCTAAAAAGGGAAGAAGGAAGAGGGAAAAAAAAAGATGTGGCTAGGATCCTGTAGCATAATTTCACTGGCACTTTTGATTACGGTATTTGATTACGGTAAAAAAAAAAAAAAAAAGATCTGTTTTTTTCTTTTTCTTTTTTGAATAACCTGGATTGTGAAAACGAATGGGGATGAATACATTTAATGGAACATTTTAAATAGAAAAGAAATCACAATAAACACAACAAAGTTTAACTTCAGGCAGACGATTCGGGAATTATTCAAGCAAACTGGCAGGTTTTGGCTTACTTTATGATGTTACTAGCTAACATGAAATCTAACTCAATAAATAATTAATTTCTAGAGTTCTTCTAGGAATACTCACTCATATATATATATATATATATATATATATATATAGTTTGTAATTAGTTAAAACCAACAAATGAAATGTAGCACAGTACCATTTACAGTAACATTATCCCACTGGGAGGACTTGATTAGGATTTTAATTGGAGCTGCAATCTAACATGTGGTTCAGCATAAGCACTCCACCTATGTTGTAAATAGGTCTGTTGCTTTATGGTGGGAGGTCTGCTGGTCAGAAAAGAGGCCAGTGCTATGGCAACTAGGCTGCTTTATGCAGCGGCGCGGAGGTGACAAATATTCAGAGAGAGCCGTGGGGGAATAAAAACAGCCAAGGTTGCTTTGCATCTGTGAAAAAAAATAGGATCTATATTTCTTTTTGCAGGGTTTTTGTTGGCAGTGTACCAAATTTCTGAAGTCAAAAAGAAAATGTTGATGTAGATCCACATAAAGAAAAAGTACACACAGTGTCCTGCAGAAGTACTCACCCCACCCTGTATTTTTCTGTATTTTGTGAAATAACTGCAAATGTTAGTATTTAATTAAGGTTTTATGTGATAGAGCAACACAAAGCAGTGTTTAACTACGAGGTAAAAGGATGTGAGTTTTCTAGAGTTTTGTAGAAGTAAACTTTGTAAAATGTGAAGTCCATTTTTAACTATTGAAGCACCTTTGTGCTGTGATGAAAGCTGCAATCTATCGTAACTAGAGTGACTCAAATATGCAAATTTGGGCTGGTATGGACCTGACTGTTCCTCATGATGCTGTTCGCTCTCTAATGTTCTCTAAGGCAACGTTCACCTGGCAGGCAAATGCAACCCAAATCAAAATTTTTACCCATATTTGACTTTTTCATTCCAGCCTGAAGGGCTTAGTTCTGATCTTTTCACTCCCCCCCAAAATAAAAATTGAGTCAGTTCCATTTGAAGTTCGTCAGTGAAGTTCATCACATCCCCCCACTCTTAATTCCGACTATGCATCCAAACAGACAAAAATTTCAGTCAATGCACCACAAAAAGCCATTGCTTTTTTTATGCTTTCTTTTTGTTAGTGTGGTACGTCCTACGTTTGCTCTGACTGTTGATAAGAAGTCTGTCTGGTTGCAGTTATTGAATAGTATAAACTACAATGCAACGAGATCCTCACAGATCAGCAAATGGACTTTGTTTATTGTCCTTCAGTTTTATGCACCAACAATCTGGAAAAGCTTCCTGTTCAGTATAGGAGTACTTTCATCTTTGCTGTTGCCTACTCTTAAACTATTTTTTTTAACTTAAATTTTAAACCTGATCTGTTTGATGTGTTCTTTTTAATGTATGTTGTTTTTAACTTCTATGTACACGCACTTTGAGTAGCCTTTGGCTGAAAGGTGCTATATTAAATAAAGTTGCCGTGCCTAATTAGGTGACTTCTAAAGGCATATGTTTGCATTTAACTTAGGGGTCAATGAATAAAGCAGAAATGTACACTACACCTTTCAGGTTTATATACTCTGTAAAAGAGAACAAGTATTATTCCATCCACATCTTAAATATTAACTACTTTGAACAGATGGATAGCATATTATCTCAATAAAATAGTTTATTTAATTAGGTGTGCACCGATTTATCGGCCAGCGGATTTATCGGTGCCGATTTCCTTAATTTTGGGAGAACGGTGATCGGCCGATTTTTACATTTGAAGCCAATCTTTTCTACCGATGTTATCAACCTCAGCAAAGGTCTAAAAATCAACCAGTGTGCTTTTCTTTTCTCCCATGACAGAGGTTTGACTGACAAACCGGCCGGCCAGGTCATGTTTGCAAGTTTACAGTTAACAATAGTCACCCCATTGTTGCCAATTCAGCTCAATCAAATGTGGGGTTCCACCAGGTGTTTGCTAATTTGATGCTTCTCAAACATGCATGAGAGAATCAAAGCAACACTCCAGATATGTTATTGTTTTGGTAATAACATTATAACATGATGTAAAGCTAAAAAAGCCAATTTTACTTGATACTGCCTCTTTAAATCTAACAAACAAGCTTCAGTGAAATCTTCCATTATCATAGTATGCAGGAAATATCTCTCCATGAGTCATACCTCATATCCAAGAACTCTTTCTGGGAGGGAAGGGAGAGTGTCCCAAATCACTTCAATCTCTGCTGCCGACAAACTCCGGGCCCTCACCCTCTTAGGAACCACACTGGGGACTGCAGGAACAGAGCAGAAACGGCAGTAAAGATCCCAGAGCCTCATCCAACACCATCAAACACACTAATAGCAAAAAGAAGGGAAGGCATTGAATAGACCTGTAGTTCTCACCGAGAAGCTATTTCCTGAGCTTTCTTTTTAATGGGATCTGTGACTGACATAAGGGAAGACTATCTGCCCAGCAAATTCAATTAACGGGATACCTCCCTGACAGCCCCATGTGGTAAGTGTCTGCAAGGATTTCCTGTAATTCACCAGCAAGATAACTAATATCAAGTTGACATTCAGCGCTTTCAGAGAGAGGGAGGGTGGGAGGAAGAAAATAACAGCAGACGGAAAAAAAAAAAAACATCACTATTCAAGGCCGCCGTAGTAAGGAGAGAGAGAGATTATGGCTTGTTTTCCGGTGTACCGTCTTCCGCTGAGTACACCGTGGCTATGGAGCTGAACGGCCCTTCCCCTCGGTTGTTGTAGGCCGCCACCTTGATGTCGAATGGCGAGAAGGGCGGGATGGTGTCATTGCGAAGCACGTAGCGAGATACAGTGGGCGCTGAGACCACCGCCCGCGTCCATGTGACCGCGCCAGCTGACCTGAAGGCCACAATGTAGCCGAAGCCGTCTCCATTCTGCAGTTCCTCAGGCAGAGGCTGGGAGTGAAACACAAAACTATAGTGATATTAAAACGCATACAGGCAAAAGAAACAGACTAGGCCTCATCTCTGGGGCTTTTAGGGAAACAGATATATTCCCATTTCCTCCGTCTGTCTCCTTGGTCACCTTTTTACCTTATCTCTTCCTCCTGCGTGGTTTGGTAATTGTAGCTAAAGTGCAAAGCCCTTCAGAAGGAAGTGCTCTCTTTTTGGAGGGAGAATTAGCTCTCTGTAGCTGAGCCAGATGAGGGGTGTCTCCCCTCTAATGTAGGTCATAAAATTGCTCCACTCAATTCTGCACAATTAAGCAAAACCATTACTTGCCGACAGAGAGAAGTGTAAGAAATGTGACAGATGACTTACCTCCCATGTTATCACTAATTCAGATTTTGTGCCGCCTCCACCTCCAACATCAGTGGGAGCTGTATCAGGAACTGAGAGGTAAAAATGCAAAGGGGGAAGCAATTAGAACACAGTTTACAAATCTCCACGGAAAACCTGAAATGCACACGCAGCCTTATGCCAAGGCAGACGGAGGCAGATACTCCCGCAATCCTTTCGTTGATTTCCGAATTACAGACGTTGGCCAAATGTCATGGTGCAAGCCCAGCAAGCCAACATTCATAATATCTTTCCAAATGACATTTTGACTCAGCTCACTATGTTCCTATTCCCATTTGCCTGGTTGTGCATGTTGTGGAGGGCGGAATAAAATGACCACTCAGTCTGTATGAGCAGCCCTGCTTTTGTAACCTCTGTTAGAATTGGATTACTATTGGTGTTTTTTTCAAGTGGGGTTGAAAGAAAAACAAGTTTTTTATTGGATTTCCTGTTTCCTGCACTCTGGTTTTCCTCGCCTTTAACTTTGTGGTCAACTTTAGGGGTCTAGCACAGCAATACTTCTCTTTCAAGTTAAGTGTGTGTTGCTCAAGGTCTAAAATACTGAGAATGATCAACCAGATCTGCAAGTTTCAGCTTTTTTTGGCATGGCTGTAACTGGTTATTTACCGATTATTTACCATAACCAGTAAGGTTAGGGTTTCTAAAGAAAAATGTTTATCTTAATCAGACGATGTTGTATTGCTTTGGAGTGTAAAATACAAACTCCACCCTCCAGCTCTGACAGCTGTTTAAACAGACCAATGACCGACAGCGATGTGTGCTTTACAACATGCAGAGTGGATGGAGGAACTAAAGGGTTGTTGTATGAAGCTCTGACTGACAGGAACATTTTTCCTTTAACTTGGCGTTTCAAGACAACTGATGACCTTTCACTTCTCCCTCTACCTCATACTAGAGCTCTTGGGTTGTGGGTCTTCGTCCTCTGGAGCATGCTGCCTCGTGGCTCTGGTGTTAGCAGTTAGCTTCGCCGTATTACCGTCGTACTTGAATGTACGAAGTTTATCCGCCATTTATCAAGAAATATCCACTGAAACAGATCTCTTTATAGTCCAGACCCCTTTGATAACCCAATTTAGGTTGCAGTTAGTAGCAATTGTGGAATTAGAACGAATATGTTAATAAACCTGCAGGAGCTCTGAAATATCCGTCTCTACTCCATCTTACTCACCCGCAGTGACACCTTCATGACAGAGAATAATATTTAACAGCAGTTCCAAAAAAAGCATTTGAGATGCTAAATTTACTTTTAGAAATATTTTTGCATAAACAAACTATTGTGACATTTGTAGAAAGCCATTAACATTAACCTTAAACTTCAAAGATGCACCAACAACAGAGTATCAAATAAAAAAATAATTACCTGCTACAACTATAAACCCACAAGAGAGTGAGGAGATGAGACCCGATATCCTATCCTCTATTCGCGGGGAAATTTCTAAAATTATAAGGGAGGAAATGAGGAGAGCGCTGTCTGAAGAGTTTATTACGCTCAGAGCTGACATACAAGCTGTGAGGGCCGAGATAGCTAGCAATGCCGCTGCTATCCGCGCTGACATCACCTCAATTGAAACGGACATGAAAGATGTGAAAAGTGGACTGTCTACATGGTCTGATGAGGTAAACACATTGCAATCCACCGTTATTGAACTTCAGAGCGAACTGGTTAAGATGCGGGACAAATGTGAGGACATGGAGGGGAGGATGAGGCGCGGAAATATCCATATAGTTGGCGTTGCGGAACAGCTGAACTCCGCTGATCCTAAAGAGGTTTCTAAAATTATTAAAGAGGTGCTCCAGATGGACCGGGAGGTAAAAGTCGACTGTTCACACCGAACAGCTGCTCTGACGAAACCGGGAGACGGAGAAAGACCTCGTGTGATCATCGCCAAGCTGCACCATGATGGAGACGCCGCTGACATCCTGAGGAGAGCCAGAGACAAAGCCCCGTTGATCTACCAGGGTAAAAGAATCGCCATCTTCCCGGATTACACCACCAGTGTGGCCAAGGCGCGCCCCGCCTTCTCCGAGGGACGGAAAGCTTTACGGGGACGGAGCGATGTCCGCTTCGGATTACTTTATCCAGCAAGACTCAAAATCACATACAAAGAGGACAGCAAGGAGTTTCGGGATCCTATGAAGGCCATGGACTACATACGGAAGACCATCCCGGCTGCAATATCTGGGTCTGAATAGTAAGGAAAACCATAAATGCTAAAGTGGCACGACTAGCTCCAGTAGTTTTCAATTTTGAAATAATGTGCCTTTAGTTGCCCTAATTGTGATTTTGTTAAGCAATGTTACCTCTCTAAACTGGTAGGTATGTTAGTATGAGACTTTGTCATTTCTAACCTTGTTAAATTACTAAGACATAATTTGCCTTGATTAGGTTGTATGATTATTATTAGATTCTTTGCTACATTGTGGTTACTGTACATATACTTATGTTCTCCTGCAGGAGCCTGAGCTTCCATATTTTTATCTTCTCTTTCTGTTGATTTTTTATTTTCTTTTACACATCAACACTGGTTGTGTTTGTTGCTGCTTTTTATAGTGGCTAGGGACTTAAACCCACTTCCTTGCATTATATTAGCAATGCAAACTTTTAGTTGTGTTTTCTGCGTTTTGATCCTTCTGTTCCCCGAGGATCTTGTTGTAAATAAAAAAGCAGAGCTTCTGAATCTTAGTTTTGTAAATAGTGTACAGCAAAGCCTTACTTCTTATCTGTTCTTTTCTATTTTTCAGTTCTTACATTGTCTTGGTGATCAGCATTCATGTTACTCAAATGTTTGGGCCCATCCGTCAAATGGCCGTCACTGCCTCCAACACAAT